AAATACAATAATGAGTCCAGCCTGGATTATATTCTTATTTTTACCAATGAGTCTAAATATAATTTATTTTTATTGTATTTATTTTAAAAAAATTCTTCCTTTCTTTCTTTCCCTCTTTCTTTTAAGGAAGGAAGGGACCCACCAAGGTAAAAGTGTCTAGGACCCATGAAAGTCAGGATAGAACCCTGGAATGAATGTACCTATAGAAGAAACACAATGAAAATGGAATGATGTCACTAACTTCTAGCAGATTCTACCTGCTGAAATTTCTTTTCTTTTCTTTTCTTTTTAAGACAGAGAGAGAGGGTGCCTGGGTGGCTCAGAGGGTTGAGCCTCTGCCTTCCACTCAGGTCATGATCTCAAGGTCCTGGGATTGAGCCCCGCATTGGGCTCTGTGCTTGACAGGGAGCCTGCTTCCCCTCCCCTCTGCCTGCCTCTCTGCCTGCCCCTCTGCCTACTTTGTGATCTCTCTCTCTCTCTGTCAAATAAATAAATAAAATCTTTATTTTTTTAAAGATTATTTATTTACTTATTTGACAGACAGAGATCACAAGTAGACAGAGCAGCAGGCAGAGAGAGAGGGAGGAGGAAGCAGGCTCCCCGCTGAGCAGAGAGCCCAATGCGGGGCTCGATCCCAGAGCCCTGGGATCATGACCTGAGTCGAAGGCAGCTTTAACTCACTGAGCTACCCAGGCACCCCAATAAATAAAATCTTAAAAAAAAAAAAAGACAGAGAGAGAGGATGAGCAGGGGTAGGAGAGAAGGGCAGAGGGAGAGAGAGAATCTCAAGCAGACTCCTAGCTCATCGGGGAGCTGACGTGGGGCTGGATCTTATGACCCCAAGATCATGACCTGAGCTGAAATCAAGCATCAGTCGCCTGACTGAGCCACTTAGGTGCCCCTGCCTACCGAAATTTCTGTATCTCCTTTCTGTGCCTCCTTAGTCCTTGTTGAAAAAGAAGATTAATATGTATTAGGTATTTAGCTAGTAAAGACCTACTAGCCCCAATTGATATTTTGTTTTTGAGAAATCAAAAAGGATCAAAAGAAGTGGAAAAAGCAAAAGCTTTTTCAGTTTGTGATTTTTTGTTATCTATACACCCAGAATTGCTTGACATCCCTTCTGTGAGTTCATCCTGTACTGGGGAGACACTGGGTTTGATGATGATGATGGCCTTGAAGATGATAATGTTGGTTATCATATTCCTGTGGCCCAGATTTAGTACGAATGCTTCCTGTATTTCAAGCCCTGGGCTAGAAATTTTCATATTCAAATCTCACATAATCCTCACAAGGATATTGGGAACATGGCACTATTATCTCCATTTTATGGATAAACTAAAGCTTAGAGAGGTTAAGTAACTTGCCCAGAATCACTTAGAAAATATCAGAGCTTTAAATCCAGGGCTGATTGGCTCTGAATCCCACGTTCTTAATCCCTTGGTTACACTTCCTATTTTTGTTTCCCTCTTTGCCATTAATTTTCTTTAAAAAAAAAAAAAAAAACACATTGTAGGGGCATCTGGGTGGCTCAGTCGGTTGGGCATCTGACTCTTCATTTCAGCTCTGGTTACGGCCTCGGGGTCATGAAATGGAGCCCTGAGTGGGGCTCCACACTGAGGGGGTGTCTGCTTGAGATCCTCTCTCCCTCACCTTCTGCCCCTCCTCCCACTTACATGCACGTGGGTTCTCGCTCTAAAAATAAAATAAAATAAAATAAAATAAAATAAAATAAAATAAAATAAAATAAAATAAGGTTTTATTTATTCATTTGAGATAGAGAAAGGGAGAGAGCATGGCAGGAAGGAGGGCAGAGGGAGAGGGAGAACCAGGCTCCCCGCTGAGCAGAGAGCCAGACACTGGGCTCAATTCTAGGACCCTGGGATCATGACCTGAGCCAAAGGCAGATGCTTAACTGATTGAGCCACCCAAGTGCCCTGCCCAAAAAAAATCATAGAAAAACACATTGTATTTGTTTATAGCTTTGAATGGAGAGTTATTCACGTAGTATAAAGTGGAAAGTAAGTCTCCTTCCCACCCCATCGGAAGATAGTTTTCCTCACCAAACTGAGGAACTACTCATCAGTTTCTCTTTCTTCCTTCTTTCCTCCCTCCTTCTTTCTTCCTTCTTCTTTCTTTCTTTCCTTTTTAAATTTTACTCATTTACTTGGGGCACCTGCATGCCTCAGTGGTTTAAAACCTCTGCCTTCGGCTCAGGTCATGATCTCAGGGTCCTGGGATGGAGCCTCACATTGGGCTCTCTGCTCAGTAGGGAGCCTGCTTCCTCCTCTCTCTCTCTCTCTCTCTGCCTGCCTCTCTGCCTACTTGTGATCTCTTTCTCTGTGAAATAAATAAATAAATAATCTTAAAATTTTTTTTTTTTACTCATTTACTTGAGAGAAAAAGAGAGCACAAGCAAGGAAGGGGCAGGCAGAGAGAGAAGGAGAAGCTGACTCCGCACTGAGTGGGGAGCCTGACACGGGGCTCTATCCCAGGACTCACAGTTGGCTTCTCCTTCTCAAGAGTCACTTGCTCCACCAACTGAGCCGGCCAGGTGCCCGTAAAGGAAGAATATTTTAAATTTTAAATGTTATTCATTTTTGAAGCGGTTGACGAGAGAGAAAATCTCTAAAGGCCTGATACACAAGGGAAACCATTTTAGATTTCCTTCTAAGTCAACATGACTATATATAAACTTTGTTCAAACCAAAAGCCTGATTTATGGCCAGCCACACAGACGTTATACATCTGCTTTGTGAATGAGTCGCCTAAAGGAAAATCATCTTGTCCTGGAGATACCACTCAATGCTCCCATTTCCTGCATTCCTTTACAATAGAACTTGTGATTCCTGCCTATATGCTAATTGATAATCTTTTGAGCTTTTACAAGATGTAGAAGGTATATAACCTATAAAATCTATTCATTCTCCAGAACACTTTTTTCCCTGTGAAGAGCATGTTTCCCCAATTAGCTGTCTTAACTTTGGCTGGAATGAAACTTTCTTTTTTAAATTTTTGTTTAAAGATTTTGTTTATTTGACAGAGAAAGAGGGAACACAAGCAGGGTGAGTGGGAGAGGGAGAAGCGGGCTCCCCGCAGAGCAGGGAGCCGGATGCAGGGTTCCATCCCAGGACCCCTGGGATCATGACCTGATCCTGAACCAAAGGCAGATGCTTAATGGACTAAGCCACCCAGGCTCCCCAATAAGAACTTCTTTTAAAAAAAAAAACAATGTTCATAGTAATAAAAATAATACTAAAAAATATTAAAATGATGTCTGATGCCTGTCCAGGAGTGAATGTGCTGGGTTGGAGGAAAAGAGATGTCTGACTTTGTTTCCTGAGAGCAATGGAAATACTATGTTCCCAAACAGGAGAACCCTTTTTCCTTCTGCCTGATCTACTCATTGACCATGTGTTCCTCCACTCTACAAAGTGTCTTGCGCACTTACCACACGAAGCTCTGGGTGTAGCACGGCAGTGGCTGCATTCCTTCCCTCTGTCTAAACAACCTGAGAGCGAGCTCCTCAAGGACAAGGGACCCCACGTTATCTATTTATTTAAGATTTATTTTTAAGCACTCTTTATACCCATCATGGGGCTTGAATTCACAGTCCCAAGATCAGGAGTCACATGTTTCATGCACTGAGCCGGCCAGGCATCCCAGGGACCTCACTTTCTTATCAGGGTGTTCCCCAAAGGCAGGGCCTGGCACTCGGCAGTTAAATGCTAATTCACGAAGAGGAATGATCAGAGGTAGGTTCAGATGCCTTTCTACTCTCACCTTTCGGACAGTTTCCTCGTCACTTTTAGCATCTAAAAGGTGCTCAGCTAGTTTACTGAATTGAATTAACAGACTTAATCATTCTGCAAATGCATCCCACATCTGAGCAGAGAAGTACTTGGTTCTAACACACTTAGATAAAAACTATGTGGGGTACAGAGCTTAGGATTCAAAATACGTGCTCAAGATCTGCTGATTTCCTTCCTCATTTGGACTTGTGACAGGGCTTGGTCGCAGTGAGGAATATGTGTTCAGTCCTCCCGAAGAAGAGAGTATTACTAGTATATTCTTCCCCAGATGCTGCTCGGTGCTCGGAGGCTGCTATTCCATGGTGGTCTCAGGGTCAAGCTAGGGGAAAGGTCTTTGCTCTCGCACAGAGGGGTGGAGACCCCAAGCTGTGTGTTGGGGGGGGCGCCCATAATATGTCCATTTATAATGGACCGGTGGTAAAATAAGGGAGGCTGAGCAGCTTCCCCTGAAGAGAGGCTCCTGAAGTCCATCTTGGGACTCCCGCCACCCGTTTCCCAAATTACCACATAGTGAGCCTCAGTAAACATTAAACCTAGTCAAGGACCGAATGAATTGCGGACGGAACCCCTAAAGCTAGAGGAATGGGTCCAACAGCGCCCCCTTGCGGTGCCCTGCACCCAAGCCGCCCCCGGGGAGAAGCGTCTGTGCGGTCCCACCAGTGAACACAGCACAAAGGACCCAAGCTGCCACGGGAGCGACCCCTGGAGGGAATGTCGTCCACGCCATCCCCCATCTTTTTAGAGACGGGGCACTGGGCCCAGGGCGGGTAAGTGGCTCGTCCAGCGGGTCCCCAGGAATGCGCTCCAGCGGCTTAAGGAGGCGGTCTGACGGCGGAGGCCGCGGGCGACCTGCGGCGGGGCTGCGCTGGCACCGCGAGCAGCCTGTGCTGACTCACGGAGAGTGTGTCCTGCGGGCGGCACGGAGGCGCCCGTGGGGATGCGGGGTCCCCTGCGGCCGCCGGCGCCGGAGCTTCAACTAGAACCCGGAGAGGCGCCCTGGCGCCGCGCCCCGAGCACACGGGAGTCCCCTGGATCCCAGCCCCTCGCGCGGGACCGAGGGAGCCAGAAGCCTCTGCGCAGCCCGGGCCGGGCGCGTCGAGGGGGCGGGGCTCCGGGGCGGGGCACACAGAGGGGGCGGGGCTCACGGGGCGGGGCGCACCGAGGAGGCCGGGCTCCGGGGCGGGGCGCACCGAGGGGGCGCGCCCGACCTCAGTCCTGCTGGAGCGCACGGAAGCCCCCCAGGCTCGGTCCCGAGATGTTGGCCAGCAAGCGGGTGGCTAAGGTAACGGCGGTCGGACGACCCCTTTCTCACGGCTCCCCTTGCCTGCCTTGCCCTGCCCCCCTGCATCCCTCCCCCGGCTCTCGGAGCGCGGTTATTTGTCGCTCTCCCAGCCGCCGGGTCTGGAGGAGGAGTGGGTCTGCGAAAGGGGCGGGAGCGGGAGTTGAAGAGAAGCTGGGGTCGGGGATGGGGGTGTGGGGCATCGAACCGGGCTGTCGCTGCCTCCCTGGGCTGTGCTGGGGATGGGGATGAGCTGGCTCCGAGTCGAACTGGTTTCGGTTTCTTTTCTCTTGCCAGAAACTTGTGATCACAATTGCTCGCGTCTCACGGAGGTGCTGGAAAGGTTCCAGGAGTCAGGGGCTCTGCTGGGGCGGGTGTGTGTGTGTGTGTGTGTGTGTGTGTGTGTGTGTTGGGAAGAGATAAAATGAGAACAAGGTCTTTGCCATGGAATAGCTCATATCCCGCCCCGAAATTGGGTACCTACATTTCTAGAGTCCTGGGAAGTATGGGGTGTTGAGTAGGAGTCAGGAACAAAGTTCCCTCGTTATTCTCAGGAGGAAAAGATGCCAAAGCGGAGCTGGAAGGCGTCCTGGAGTAGGTGGCCTGCGCTCATTCCTTCTGCAAATGTTGTCGAAAGCCTGTTATGTGCTGATTCCTGTTCTAGGAGGTAGGGAGGCAAAGATGAGCAAAAATCTTGCCCGCCCCCCACCTTGAGCTTTCTTTCCAATCAGGAACACAATTTGAAGATTTTTGTATTTTTATTTGAGAGAACCGGCTGAGCACGGAGCCTGAGCTAGGGCTTGATCCCATATCCCACAACCCTGAGAACATGACCCCAGCAAGTGGAAATCAAGAGCCCACACTTAACCGACTGAGCCACCCAGGTGCCCCTCCAATCAGGAACACAATTTGAAATAAGGTCTGGGAGGGTGGGAGGGGGGGGGAAATTCTCCAGGAGGTAGGAAAACCCAGGGTGTTTGAAGGACTGGGGTGTAGCCAGGATGTGGGCGTAGGTGGGGAAGGAAGAAGGGTCACGGTGAAATGGGTCTGGCATATCCCCAGACTTTGACTCTCTTGGAAGTGGCCCTCCACTGTGTAGAGTGGGGCATGGGCCTAAGGGGTTGGGGAGGGCTGCAGGCTCCTTTCCACCTTTGAGAGAGAGAGGATCTCAGATTGGGACATAGAGCTGGCTCAGCCCAAAAGAACTGAAATCTGGAACTTAGCAACAAAATGGGGCAGGAGATCCTTCTAGCCAAGTGTGAAAGAGCTAGGAGCCAGTATTTATCACATGGGCACCATGAAGTGCCAGGCACAGCAACTCTGTGAGATAAGTCATATGCCCCCATTTTACAGATGAGGATGTTGAGGCTCAGAGAGAGTAACTCGGTTGCCCAGGGTCACCCAGTAGGGAGTGGTGAGGCTGAAACTGGAGCCCAGGTTGGCGGGGCTCCAACCCACAGGCTTGTCCAGTGGCCTCTTACTTTCATTTTCTTTTCCTCTGAGTAAGGTGATTTCCTCACTGGCCTCAGGAAAGAGCTGTGTGTCCTAGTTTGGATTTCATATCCTCAGGCTTGCAGAATCTTTTGGCAGAACTCTTCTACAACAGAAAAGCCCAAGCAATCCCAGTTACAGTAAAGTCGGGAAACTCTGTTGCAGAGCTCTGTTTGACTCAGGGTTTCGTCCTTGCCGAAGGGTCGTAGATGGTACTGAAGCTAGGACTCATGGAGCAGATGCTTCGACTTTCGGAGTGAAAAATAATCGAGGGGTCATAGACCCTGGGCAGAAGGCATGAGAAGCAGTCTGGGTTTGAAGAGAGAGTATGGGCTGAGACATGGGCGATGAGGCCAGCGTTGTGTTTATTTGTTGGAAGTGCAGAGAAAGTTCATGTGGTCCACAGTCTGAGGATCCCCGCCCCCCATACCCTGGAGTGGTTTTGAGCTTTCTGTCCACCTTTGTTTATACCACAGTTTCTGTTGACATCTGGGGCTGGATAATTCTTTTTTTTTTTTTTAAGATTTTATTTATTTATTTGACAGAGAGAGAGCGAGAGATTGCAAGCAGGCAGGCATGGGGAGGGGGAAGCAGACTCCCTGCTGAGCAGAGAGCCCGATGCGGGGCTCGAACCCAGGACCCCAGGATCATGACCTGAGCTGAAGGCAGAGGCTTAACCCTCTGAGCCACTCAGGCACCCTGGATAATTCTTTACAGGATGTCTACTGGCATCCCTGGTCTCTGCCCACTAGGTGCTGATAGCACTCCTCCAATTTGTGACAACCCAAAATGGTATAGGCATTGCCCAAGATCCACGGGGTGGGGGTGGGGGTGGGGGTGTCCAGTTGCCCTCAGTTGAAAACCAATGGTTTATACCCATTTGGTGTTGCAGAGGAATATGACTTGCCCTCAAATGTCTTTTTTTATTATTGCTGTTGTTTGGTTTTCCAGAGAAAAGTTCTGTTGTTCTTTAGGATGGACCCCAAAAGGGAAGAGGGGTTCCTTGATCAGATATGTTTGAGAAGCACTGTGTGCTATGGGCTCACATCTTGCAGATTCACGATACACTTTAGCTTTATGTTTTCCAATGTGCTTGATCATGAAACCCTTTTCCATCAATAACTAGTCTGCTTGCGTGGGGTGCACTGTACATATTTGCTCCCTCCGCCTTGGGACCTCTCCCCTGCTCTGCATGGGGGAAGCCTGTTTACTCAGTGGCTCAGTGCTCCTCTGTCCTCTGCTTCCCCAGTGTGTATCCACACACCTTCTTCACGTAGTCCTGTTCATGTTTCTCCCATTACTCCAGGGAAGCTTTGGAGGGCTGGGCCCTTCCTTCTCTCTCAAGCGTCAATAGAGGATACTCTGTAGTGGGCTGGAGGGGGAATGCAGCGATGTCCTAGGCACCAGGCTACATCTTGGGGTGCGGGTGGGCATGTGAGTCACTCCTGTCCTCCTGTTTTTCTGCTCAGGGTGTAGAGTTCTCCTCTGCTTCAGGCTTCCTGAACCATCTCCCTTCCCCAGCCCTAGCCTGGAGGGCTTTGTCTTTGCTGTCCACTGTGCCATGAGCACTGGAAAGAACAGGCTGGACATGCAGTGGATGCCATGGGAAGAAGGGAGGGAGAGAGGGAGAGAGGGAGAGAATTAGGACCTTGTGTCTTTCCAGGAAGAAAACAAGAAGATAGGGATGCAGTGTGTAGTACCTTGGTTTTAGGAGGAAAGGCCAAAGAGAGTTTACTTCCAAGTGGTAATAATGTCCAGAAACGAGGATCTTCATCTTCTCTCTCCATCTAGTATCTACAGAGCTTGGTGAGGCTTAAGGCACATAAGTCACTTAAAACACTAAGCACCCTACCTGACACATTCTTTTTTTGTTTTTAAGACTTATTTATTGGGGTGCCTGGGTGGCTCAGTTGGTTAAGGCTCTGCCTTCAGCTCAGGTCATGATCCCAGGGTCCTGGGCCCCACATCAGTCTCCCTGCTCAGCAGAGAGCTTGCTTCTCCCTCTCCCTCTGTCACTCCCCCTACTTGTGCTCTCTCTCTCTCTCAAATAAATAAATAAAATCTTTTTAAAAAGTTATTTATTTTTTGAGAGAGAGAGCGTGCCAAGCAGGGGAGGGCCAGAGGGAGAGGCAGATTCCTTGCTGAGTGGGAAGCTGGATGCGCGGCTCAGTGTCATGACCGTGAGATCATGACCTGAGCCAGAAATCCAGAGTTAGACTCATAGCTGACTGAGCCCACCCAGACGCCCCCGTGACTGGCCCATTCTAAGTACTCAGTATATGAGGGCTCTCACTTTGCCAGCTTCTGTCCCTGAGGGGTTCCTTTTTGGGACCCGGGACAGCTTGCTGCTGGGACAGGCAAATGGGCAGCTGAAGGAGTGGAGACTAGCCATCTGTCCATGGCTCTGCCCCCTGCAGGAGCTGGAGGATCTTCAGGCAAATCTTCCCCCCTACCTACGGAACCTGTTCAGCGACGATGCAGACGTCCTGGTGTGGCATGTGCTCCTCCTGCCCGTGAGTGTTCCTGGGGACCATGGCCTTGGACTGGGGTGGCAGGCCAGGGGGCATTGGCAGGGTGGTTGAGGACGGAGGACAGAGTTTCCCCTCCCTTAGAGTCCTTTTTTGGACTCTAGTCGTTGGTAGGTAGGGGTCTCAGGATTGATGCTTCTGAGATCAAAGTAGGCTGTGAAGAGGCTAAAAGAGAGTTCTGGATTTAGTAAGAGATTTTCCTCAAGCCAGTAGTCACCAAGCCCAACACAGGAGCGTCAGCAGACAAACGGCTTCGAAAGAAGAAAACAGATCTCTTGGACCTTTGTCAAGGGGTAAGGGTAAACTTCCTGTTTTTCTTTTTCTTTTTTTTTTTTAACTTCCTGTTTTTCACAGTTGGCAGAATTTACCCTCTCCAACCTAAAAGGTATTTTCTTTTCTTTTTAAGATTATATTTCAGGTAACTATTTTTTTTATTCCAGTATAATTCACATAGAGTGATACAAGAGTTTCGGATGAACAATACAGTGATCAGACAACTATTGTTACATAGGACAACCCAGATAACTCACCTCTACTGTTCTGATGTTTCTCCATTTATTAGATCTTGCTCAGTAAAGTCTCCCCCTGAAAACAGTATTCTAGAGGACCTATCTGAGTGCAAGAATTCTATTTTATCATTAACAGACTGACAATATTTTCTATGGGAAGTCATCTACACACCTTTAGTTACATGAGCATAAATACTAAAACAGTGAAGATTTACGGTAGTTTTTTGGGATATAAAGAGAACAATTCATTTGATTATTTTAGGATTTGGACTTTTTTTTTTAAGACTTTATTTATTTATTTGTCAGAGAGAGAGAGAGAGAGGGAGGGAGCACAGGCAGGGGGAGTGGCAGGCAGAGGGAGAAGCAGGCTCCCTGCTGAGCAAGGAGCCCAATGCAGGACTCAATCCCATGACCCTGGGATCATGACCTGAGCTGAAGGCAGATGTCTGTCATGTCCTGTGGGCTGCTGGGTTGAAGTAATCCATTTACCTGGCTTGGAGCGAGGACACCTGCTCTGGGCCTCAGGTGCCAGAGGACAAAGGTGCTAGAAGGTGTTCCAGGAACAGATTAGATCCCCCAAGGAGGCTAGCTCTGAGGTGGATGAGAGTGAAGGTTGGGCAGCAGGTCAGAAGGAGGAAGGTAGATGACAGGGACCCCTGGGGCAGGTCACATTTCAGAGGATACTGTGAAATCCAAGGACCCTAATGGTTGGTAAGACCAAGGTGGCTGGTCTTCTGGTCTGAGCACAATCCCAGTGTGTGGAGGGGTGTCCCCTCCCCCACCACCAAGCAATTCGCAGGACATCAGCTGGGCGTCCTACTCTTTAACTCACTTCGGACACCATCTACCTGGAGATAGCGTCAGATCCTACAGATGAAGGGCCCAGTCCCACAGGACTCTCCCTGCTGCACACACACCCCTGCCTCCCCTCAGATGTCAGTCTCGAGTCCAGGCTGCTTCTGACCGAATGGTTATAAATCAGAGGTTCCCATGACCCCTTCCTCAGGTTTAGTTCCTTTGCTAGAGAGGTTCACAGGACACAGAAACAGTTTCCTTACTAGATGACCAGTTTATGGTGGACGTTTATAAGGCAGAACAGCCAGACAGAAGAGCTGCATGGGGCAAAGCACCAGGGAAGGGCACGGGGCTTCCCACCCTCTCTTGGCGCGCCGCCCGCCCCAAAGCTCCAAGTGTTCACCAGCCCAGAAGCTCTCTGAGCCCTGCCCTTTTGGGTATTGGTGGAGGCTTTATGACATCAAGACGATCGATGAAATCATTGGCCTTTGGCGATTGAACTGGAGCCTTTCTGCCCTCCAACCCTTTAAGGCCAGGGTTGGCTCTCCTGCCAGAGCCCCCTTCCTTAGTTGCTTCCAAAAGCTGCTCCATTAACATAACAAAAGACATTTGGGTCACTCTCAACACTTGAGAATTTCCAAGGGTTTTGGGAGCTGTGAGCCAGGCACCGTGGGCAAGACCAGATATATATGAGAACTATATCTGAGTGACCAGATATCTATTTCTTATAAATCACAATAGCACACTGTTGTACCCTTGGGAACTAGCCAGAGACTTTCCGGCCATATAAGGGTCCTGAACTAGTCTGCTAGGTGGGAGGAGTTGATGCAGGACAGCCAATTAAGGGGGGCCCAAAGGTGCCTAGCGAGGCCATAAAGGAGGCGTGGTTGGCGGGTAGGGGAAGGAGAATCCAGAAAGGTCTGTGGGTCGAGCTGACAGATTGCCCCTCAAAAGTTCAGTCTCAGTATACAAGGCTCACCAAGGTGGCCCCACTTGTCCCCTTGTAAAAAAGCTGACAGGGGGACGAGCCTTTGAAAGCTCACAGTAAGAGTTCCCATTCACTGAGAAACGCTGTGGACGGAGCACTGTTTGCTGGACGTTGCATGAGCAGTCCTACTGAAAACCTGGCAACCACCCCACGGGGAAGCCTGGCATCTCTTTACAGTTGAGGAAATGGAAGCTGAGGGGGTTGAGTGACCTATCACAGGATAAGGTGGCAGAGCTGGAAGAGCAGTGAATGTTTTTTCCAAACCCAAACGCTAAGCAAATAGGACTTTCTCAGCTGACCCCAAGGTGCACTATGAAGCTGTCAGGTGGTCCATCTTCTTCACGTTACAGATAGGAAACTGATTCCCGGAGGAGCTCCAAGCCACGCCCCAGGCCCAGGGCAGAGCTGGGGCAGGTTCCCAGGGCCCCCTGCTCCAAGGCTTCTTGGCCTCCTTCCTCTGATGGAGCCCAGGAAGCCCAGTCTGGACCGCTGCAGACAGGACACGCGGGCATTCTCCCATCCCTTTTCTGAAGCGTCACTCTCGGGCCTATCTCTACTTCACAGGCCCCAGGCTCTTCTTATTATCAAAAATGGAAATGCTGAGACATTTTCCTTCTCTGTCCTATAGTCGTCTCTTCTATCTCAGAGACACGCCCAGGACGCCCGTGGCTCCCGTTTTGTCCTCTGCTAACCAAGAGGAGCTCTCATACAACCTTGACTCTGGGCTTACCTCTGTACGTCGTTGTGGCTGTCTTTGTCCTATCTTCTTGGGAACGAAGTTTCTGAAAGGATCTGGAGTTTTGGAACCAGCCAGAAGCTGCTGTGCTCTGTGCTGGGTCACCTGAGTTCCAGGACTTCCTGCTTCTAGGAGTGTAGACTAGTGCTCACGTGTGGAGACGTAGAGACCGGCGCTGGGTTCCCACCCAGCACTCCACTGTGCCCTGGGCAAGCTAGAGACATTAAACTTGAGTTTCTTCATCATAATATAGACCCTAACAGTGGTGAGTTTTCATGATCCTTACTGTAGCAGCTGACACAAAGGTAGTGTTTTCCATATGATAGGTCCTCTTCTAAGCCCTTAATATAAATGAACTCATTTAGTCCTCATGTAAGCTCTGGGAAGAAGTCTATTCTCATTCTCATATGGAAGCACAGAAGAGGTTAAGTTACTTGCATAAGGTCACACAGCTAGAGAATGGCAGAGCCAAGATTCATACCGAGGCAGGGTAGCTCCAAAGTTCATGTAACCGCTACCCTCTGCTGCGTGGACTAATGTGTGTCAAGCCCTTAACACGAGGCGGCACAGGGTGGTGCCCAGGAAGGTTTTCAGGTTGCTCGAAGTCTGGAGGGTCTTTTCCTGGCTCCTGGCAAACCCTCAGCCACTCTAGCCACTGAGTTCTTTCTTCTTTAAAAAAAGTTTTTATCATGATAAAATACACAATAACAATATGTACCATTCATGGACAAGCAGACTCCTTGCAGAACTCAGAGCCCGAGGAGGGGCTCTACTCCAGGGACCCGAGATCATGACCTGAGCCCAAACCAAGAGTCGGATGCTTCACCAACTGAGGCACCCCAGCATCCCCCTTCTTTTTCTTTTCTTTTTATTGTATCTATGTGAGAAGATGGATGTTAGCTGGACCGATTGTGCTCATCATTTTACCATGTAGGTAAATCAAACCGTTACACTGTACACCTTAAACTTGTACAGTGATGTCTGTCAATTATTTTTCAATAAAACTGGAAAAAGGTTAATTATTGGAAAAAACAAAAAAAGCTGAGAGAGTCCTTAAAGCTCATCTGGTCAAACTTGATCTAGTCTTCGATGAGGAAACGGGCCCCCAAGGGGAGAGGCGGCTGGCCCACCCCCCATTGCACAGCAGGACTCAGGATCTGACCTTGGTGCCTCCCAGGCCCATGATCTTTCGTGACTCTGCTCCTCTGCGAATCCGTGGCTCAGTCAGCAAGTGAGTGCAGGTGCCACCTCCATTCATGGTCCTACCTGGGAGCGAGCAGAGAATGCCTGGGAGCCCAGGGCAGGGCGGAGAGAGAGAGGGAGCCTGACCAAGGTCCTAGGAGGAAATCAGTCTTTTCAGAGCTGACGTGTCTCAGAGTCGAGCTCAACCCCTTCTCTTGAGCAGGAGGAACCACCCTACAACCTCAAGGCCTTCCACGTGCGCATCAGCTTCCCCGAAGACTATCCGTTCAAGCCCCCTATGGTGACATTTACTACCAGGATCTACCACCCCAATGTGGGCCACGATGGAAGCGTTTGCCTGCCCATCATCAGCCGTGAGAACTGGCAGACTCACACCAAGACCAGCCAAGGTGGGACTGGGGCTCGCCTAACAGGAGGGAGGGATCCTGGATGCGGGGTGAGGGGACTGATTCTGAGTCAGAAAAGCCCAAAACAGGGGAGATAAACATTGCGGGGCTCAGCTGGGCCTGTCTTTGGATAGAAGGCATGCATCCGGAGATGCTGGGCTGGCTGACCGGGTCCTGCCCCTGCTCTTCTACCTGGACAGGTGTGACAGAGCAGCGGGCTGTAGAGGGAAGGGCTCTGCTGCTCTGTCTGCGGACCTTGGTGAGGTCTGTTCCTTCCCAGGCTCAGTGCCCTAAATGACCATCAAGGGGACAGGCCCAATAATGGCAGTATACACTGAGGAAGCACGTTGAGTGCTGTGCTAGGAGCTTCGCAAACGGACTTTATCCAGTCCCAGCAACCCCCTGTGTGATGCCCTCATTGCCCCTTGAGTAGAGGGGGACCCCGGGGTACATGACAGCTAAAGCGCCTGCTTGCGGTCATACAGCTGGCCAGGGGCCGAGCTGGGATTCAGAGCCAGACTTGGCTGACCCTAGAGCAGTGGTGCCCAGCAGAACGTTCTGTAGTGATAGAAATGTTCCATAGTGCATGGAACAGTAGCCACGTGTGGCTGTTGAGCACCGAAATGTGGCAAATGGGATGGAGGAACTGAATTCCTCATTGCAGTTAATTTTAATTCATTTCAACTTAGATATCCACATGTAGCTAGTGGCTACCTTACATATTGGACAGTGTGTCTCTAGAGCCCATGCACATTTGTGTGCAGTCTGTCCTGCATCTGGACCAGCTCAGGAGTTCTCTTTTTTTAAAATTAATTAATTAATTGATTGATCAATTTTTAAAGATTATTTATTTATTTATTTGACAGAAAGAGAGAGAGAGATCACAAGCAGAGCAGAGAGGCAGGCAAGGGGTGGGGGAAGGAGGCTCCCTGCTGAGCAGAGAGACCCATGTGTGGCTCAATCTCAGGACCCTGAGATCATTACCTGAGCCAATGACAGAGGCCTAACCCACTGAGCCATCCAGGCGCCCCAATTAATTTATTTTTTAAGAGAGAGTGAGCGTGTGTTTGCATGAGTGGGAGTAAGAGTGGGGGAGGGAGATGGGGAGAATCTCAATCAGACTCCCCACTGAGCGAGGAGCTTGACACAAGGCTCGGTCTTATGACCCTGAGATCAGGACATGAGACCCCGAGCTGAGCTGAAATCAAGAGTTGGAGGCTTCACCGACTGAGCCCCCCAGATGCCCAAACCAGCTCAGGAGTTCTTAGCCTTGGAAACAAAGATCCCCAGTGGGGAAGGGAGGAGGGGTCCCAGGGGGACTGTGGAGAACTGTGAATGTCAAACCACGTTTGTGCGTGTTCATACGTGCACTTGCCTCGAGCGATGGACTGCTGCCTTCGCCGGTCCCCAGAGGCCCCTGTGAAAGAGTGGGAGCCACGGGGCAATAGTGGTTTCCAGTCTTCAGCCTCAGAACCCTTTTTCCCAAATAAAAGTTGATGTATTTGGAATCCTGATATCAAACAGAAAGTGGTTCTTGTTGAAAAAGGAGTGGGATCCCGAAACCCCAGTTATCTCATCGACCCCCATAATGGGAAGCCTCTCGGGAGCCATGCACGGAACCTAGTTTGAAAGTGCTGGTGTCGCCGGTCGGGGCTCTGGGTATCATCAGTGAGGAACGAGGGGTATCCGACTCAGTAGAGCCGTCCTCATCCCGAGGGATGGACCCTCCCTGGGAGTCCCCCCGCGGAGAGAGTGTGGAATGCCGGGGCATCTGGGGGTGCACTGCCGTGGCCTCCCTGCCAAGGTTTTTCTCTCACCCTGCTGTCCTGATCTGGCCTCTCTCCCCAGTCCTGGAGGCCCTCAGCGTGCTGGTGAATAGACCGGACCTGGGGCAGCCGATTCGGCTGGAGCTCGCCGACCTGCTGGCAGAGAACCCAGAGCGGTTCAACAGCGAGGCCCAAGAGTTCACCCTCAAGTACGGAGCCGACCGGCCCTCCTAGTGGTTCTCCCCCGTCCCTGCGCGGGATCCTCTGCTTGGCGGACAGACACATCTCACGGAGTGGGGGCCAGAGCCCTTCTTCGTTCCGTATTTTTCTTTCTAGGTTGTCTGTCAGTCATTAGTCTCTGTGGGGTGTGGGCCCATTCCCAGGCTCACCTGACCACAGGTGGGCTTTGCCTCACTCCTTCTCTCTGCCCCAGAGCCAGAGGAGTTGGCGATGGTTATGGGACAGCTCTCCGGCACTCTAGGGTGTGGAAATCCTGGTCTCACTAACTGCTCTGTCTTAGGACCACAGGTCACCTCCAGCCTGGCTGGCAGGGAGCGAGCCCAGGAGCCCACCAGAATGCCCGGACATCAGGGAGCCGGGGGTACATTGGGAGGGTGTGTGGGAGGCAGGGCTCATATTTACAATTGAGCCATTTGTTTATTGCGTGACCAAAGTCAGTTAGTCCACTAATGGGTACTACATGTCTAGAGGCAGGTGCTGAATCTTTCCTTTCCACTGAATCTTTCCACTGACAAATCGTGAAATGAAGACTCTCCATTCCGAAAATCTGACTACATGGTTTTGTTTGTTTGTTTGTTTGTTTTTAAGATTTATTTATTGATTTTAGAGAGGGAGAGAGGGCGCACACACGGGTAAGGAGAGGGGCAGAGAGGGAGGGAGAGGGAGAGAATCTCAAGCAGACCCCCCTGCTGAGCACGGAGCCTGACACACGGCTCCATCTCATGGCCCTGAGATCATTTCCTGAGCTGAAACCAAGAGTTGGTCGCTCAATCGACTGAAGATTTTATTTATTTGTTTGTTTATTTATTTAGAGAACGTGTGTGTGCACAAGCAGGGGGAGGGAGGGAGAGAGAAAGAATCTCAAGCAAATTCTACGCAGAGTGTGGAGCCCAATGCGGGGCTCCATCTCCAACCCTGAGGTCATGACTTGGGCTGAAACCAAGAGTCAAATGCTTAACTGACCGAGCCACTCAGGTGCCCCCTGACTGCATGGTCTAAACCCCCTTGCAATTCCCTTAAGATGCCAGTTTCTGGGGGCCAGGCTTTAGGCTGGGAGGAGTGACCCCTCCCCCAGTGTCCAGTTCAGGGGGAACCACAGAAGCCACCTGCTTGTCCACCCATTAAAGTCACAGATGAATTTGGAGGCTGGCTGGGTGTTCGTTGAAAGGATGGTTGGATTCATTGGGAGAACATGAGGCTGAGGGTTAGCTGCTCTCTACTAAGAGGTGTGACCCCACCCCCCAGAACAGAGGGCTTGCTGGACTTCGAGCCTCGTGGAACCCCAGATGCTGTGGGGGAAAACTGGCCATGGGGGACTAGGCTGTCAACCCATCTACAGGGGGAACACCCCCATTTTACGAGGCAGCTGAGGCACAGAGTGCTTTGGTGGATGGCCGGGTCTGCCCAGTCAGTCAGGGCAGGGTCCACACCTTCGGCTGCACAGCCAAGCTGGCTGGTTTTCATTTCTGTGTTTCTCATGAGCTGTTCTTGTCAGCGCACATGCTCGGAATGGCTGATAAGGTCAGACAGGCCCGTTAGCAGGAAATTATAAGCAGCCCAGGGGTGCATATCTAACGAACGATAGAAAAGCAGAAACAAGCCAGAACTTCAGCCTGAGCTTGAGGGATTAACTTAACACGAAGGAAGAACCTTCAGGGAGCAGCGGTCTAAGCTTCTGGAAAGCCGGTGCTTGTAAGAGACTGAGAGCAGGTGTCTCCACAGGCCCTGCTAACTTAGCTTGAGATTTCCAGAGAATCTCCTAGCCCAGCACCTAATCTGGGAGAAGTGTGGAAAGAGGGAAGAGAATCAGGAAAAGCACCACCAATAACTCAGAATGTACAAATGCACTCACTTTTGGACTCACTTATGGAACACTAAGGGGACAGGCACCCGGTGAGGCTGTTTGCTCATTTCATCATCTCATTCCACCTCCATCAGGTCTGTTCAGACCGTAAGCTGAGACTCAGAGAGGTTAATTCACTGCCCCGAGGTCACACAGCTGCATATCGGTGGGGGGTGGGGGAAAGGAGTTGGAGGGGTTGGCACCCAGACCACTGTCTTTTCCCAAGTGGCATCCTGGTTGTTGAGGAGATTTTGTCAGGTGAGGAACCCTGGCGGCTGGCAGGGGTTTATCATTCCAGAGGGAACAAGGTCCCGGGGCGGGGGGATGCACCAAGGGGGCAGACAGGATTTTATAAAAGGACTTTTAATGCATTTAAGACTGGTGCCACCTGCCTGGGCCCGGGCCCCTACTCTGCCCATCTCCACCCACAGGGCCGGTCCGCTCCTCATTTCTTCTTGGTCTTCACCAGCCCCTTCTGCACAAGGCTGCGGTACAGCTCCTGGATGTAGGTGTAGACGCACTTGGAGTCAGGCACCGCCAGCTGCACCATGTCGTCCACCTCCAGCAGCTGGGCACAGTCTGCCAGTTTCCTGAGGGACAGAGCCAGAGCTGAAGCATGTGGGAGCCAGGGGGAAGGGGCGCAGCCCAGCCAGGGTGAAACCCACAGAATCGTGTATGTTGGAGCTAAGAGGTCATCTAGGCTGACAACCCATTGTACAGATGAGGTCACTGAGCCCCTGACAGTCCAAACTCAAACTCAGCTTGGTGTGATCCCAAAGCCCACGTATGTCCTCAAGGTCAAAGCAAGTAACACAGCTGGGACTCAATCCCAGGCTTGCCTCTGGCATCCTTGCCCTGAAGCTGGGTCTCAGCAGTCCCAGCCTGTCAGACTGCCATGGGTGCTGGCAGTGGGAGAATCCAGGGTCCCAGCAGAAACCCTCTCGGGGCAGAGATAGCCAGGCTGAACCCAAGCCAGACTGGCCAGAGAGCCAGGGGAGGGGCACAGACTGGAGGACTGCCAAGAATGAGACAGGGTCCCTGAGACCAGTGTGGTGTTTTCCCCTCCTGGGGGTGGGTCAGGGTTCTGTCCCCCTACAGGGTTCTCTCCCCCTACACAGGAGAAGCTTCATTCCCACTGGACCTGAGGGGTGGTGGGGCTGGGATCTTCTGGCCACACAGCTGACTGGGGTGGGGGGCGAGCACTGGCTGTTCCCCCATATCCCAGGACTCCATGGAAATCAGGTGAGTTCCAGAACAGGGGCTGTGGGAGGTGATGGCTGGGGCAGGGGCCCCCTTACTTCACACACTTAATCTTCACACCAAACCCAAAGAGAAGGGAAGTCCATGGTCAAGAATCACAGAGCTAAGAAGGTGGGGACAAGATCTGAATTCAGCAGGTCAGACTCTCCATCCTGCGGCCCCATGCATCCCTACCAAAAGCCTTCCTTTTTTGCTGCTGCCTGATGCCTTCTGGCAGCTGGGTCCTTGTCACCTGATTATTCATCTTGCCTCCCCTAGGCTTTGCCTGGTTTGGAACCAAAGTAAGGCAGCTGCAGGAGGACAATGACCTGTGTCCTGCGAGCCAGGGACACTTGGTTCCTGGCATTCACTTAGAGCTCTCAGCTCTACTGGGAGTTTCATGTCCATGTCCCGGTTCTGCCAGGCCTTCCTGTATGAACCTAGGACGTTGAGGGACCTCACTACTCACATCGACACTCTAAGACTGCTGAGAGGATAGAAGGGGATGCTCCAAAGAAAGCTCTTAGCAGGACGCCCAGCACCTAAGCACCCTCAATCCATGGGGCTTGTCATCATCATTAAAGCTGCTTCTGAACCCAGAGCAGGACCTGGCACTCCTTACCCCCTCAGCTTCCCATCCCAGTGCACTCACTCCATCTCTTGGCAGGAAAATATGAAACTGGAAGGGATCTTCTGGAATACCAAGTCAGGTATTTTTCAAATTGCATTCTTGGTGCCCTAGAGCCCCGTACACGTGCTTAGGGAGCATCTTGGGAAGGGTGTTGGGTGCTTAGCTGGTGTGCTCCAGGAACACCTCCCAACCCAGAAAGGTCTCCTTTTGAGTGATGACCTTGATAGACCATGAACTCGAAGCTGAGGAGTGAAGACATAAGGAAGCTGACAGAAAGTGGAAAATGGTGAGGTTAATGGATTAGAAGTCCCCACGGAGTTAAGAATCTCTGGGAGTGGGGCTGCTAACCTAAGTGAGTTAGAGAGGTGAGGGGTGGGGACAGGGGGAGAGAGCTCAATGTCTGAAACCAAAATTTTGCAGGTGGTACAATTATTGGCAAAAACTAGGTCGTTGGGGCCCTTGGGTGGCTCGGTGGGTTAAGCCTCTGCCTTTGGCTCAGGTCATGATCTCAGGGTCCTGGGATTGAGCCCCACATCTCTGCTCAGCAGGGAGCCTGCTATCCCCCCGCCCCGCCTCTGTCTGCCTCTCTGCCTACGTGTGATCTCTATCCATCAAATAAATAAATAAAAATCTTAAAAAAAAAAAACCAAAAATCTAGGTCGTAACCATGAGCAGGTGGCTGAGAAGAGTGATAAGCTCAACTAACCGAGAGGCCAGTGGGTTGTAATGATTCCTTTTAACGGGTTACTTCATCCAATGTCATCCAGGCTACAGACAATTATCATTTGGGTTAGAACACGCTTTGCACCTTCTGTACCAGTTTCGTGACATACAAATTACAACCTTGAACTCCAACCTCTAGGAACGATCTAGTGTTTGAAGCAATACGTACACTTCATAAGAAAAGTGTTATTTAGTTAAATGAAAATTTAAAAAAATTTAAAAATAAAAAGGTCCCCCTGTAATCTGTTTTGTATGTTGGGCATTCACTTAATGTTTTGTTTGAGGAATCTGCTGAAAAAGAAAAACCCATTTGCAAAGCACAGCTCCTCATCCGTCTTCTCGTTTTGCCCCTGGGGGACATGCAGGCCCAGAGAGGGGAATGCTGCAGGCCCAGAGAGGGGAATGCTGCAGGCCCAGAGAGGGGAATGCTGCTGCCCCAGGCTTCCCCACCGGTTTGTGGCCAGGGACCATGGGCAATATCCTCTGCCTAATCCATTTCTACCGGTGGCTCAGAAGCCTCTCCCTGGGGCTAGAAGAAGGTGTGCCTCTGGTATGCACTCTTTGGGAGCCCTAAGGCCATCACTGTGTACTCTGGCCTCCCAGGTAGGTACAGACAGAGGCCTCCGGCTGAGGCCAGCTCTGGTGGGGCTTTACTGGTGGGAGTACCTCCCCTTCCGCCACCACCCAGCAGCCACGTCTTTGCCTCTCAGGTTCTTCCTTGGGCTATGCTGTTCCTTACACTCCTCCTGCCCTTCCAGGACCCCTTTCTCCATCCCACTGCCAACACCCCTGGCATCCAGCCACATGAGCCTCAGCAAGAAATCCCCCTCCAGATTCCAAAGTGATGAATAACTACCAAAAAACTGCTATCATCCATCATCATATAGGAACAACAGCTCAGATCCCTTTTTTTGGAGTTTTTGCTGTGGTTTAGGCACTGCTATAAAGACCTAATTATTTACTTAATTCTCACAGTAGCTCTGCAGAAGAGGAAACCTTGTGCCCATTTTAGAGATCCAGATGTGAGGGCTCAGAGAGGTAAATTTAGGAGGCTGTTCAAGATCACACCGCTAAGAAATGGTAGACTCAGGCGGTGGCCCCAATCTTGGCACCCACCATGTGTAAAATGGCAGGCCTGCCTCCTGTCTATCGCTTGCCCTGCCTGTTCTCCTTGGGGCGCTGCCCCCTGACCCCTGCGTTACAGATCACATGGAGGGGTGTGCTTGTGATCCGTCTCGCCCTTTAGACGCTAAGCCACAACAAGTGGGGACTCTGTCAGGACGGCTGCATCCTGACACATAGTTCCTGGTGATCGAAAAGCATGTGTTGGATTTGTGACCCGTCTGACCCGCCAGCTACCTGCCCTGCGTGCAGCCAGGCTCCGGAGCATCCCCCCTTCTCACCCCCCGCCCCTCACCCCTGGGACCGCCATCGGTGGCGGCTGCTCACTCTGCTGTGTCGAAGGCCAAGGTGAAGTTGTGCCGGCGCTGCGTGGGCTCCAGCGCTGTGTAGTCGAAGGCGTCGGGGAAGAACTTGTGGATGAGGGCGCAGAAGGCCATGCCACTGCTCCAGCTCGAGGAGAAGTTCTGGATGTCCACGTGCTGCCGGCGAGGGGGGCCGTGATGAGCCTCGGGCCGGGCGCCTGACCCCCTCAGACCCGCCCCGGCCCTGCTGCCCTGGGGAAGGGTCCCCTGCCCCACACGGCCGCTGCTCCATGCCCACCTCGTAGTTTCTTGTCATGGCCCGGCACCACTCCAGGAGCATGTTCTTGACCCCGCCGATGGCTGCCCCTGCGGCCTTCGCGTTTCGGAACAGGGCTGTGGGGCCCGTCGCGGCCCTGCAAGGGGAGGCATGGAGTAGGCCGGCCCCCAGTACTGACAGGCCACAGGAGGCCCCATCGAGGAGGAGCCCGGGCCCCAGATATCAGTCCTCCCACCCGGCCTGGGCTGTTCCCACGCCGTCAGGCCTCCCGGCCCCACCGATGGGTCCGTGGTTCACCAGGGAAAGCCCAGCCCAGTCTGCACCCTACCCGCCAAACTTGTCCACGATGGCTTTGCGGTTCTGGGCTCTGGGCCCCCGTGGCCGGGCAGGGGCTGACACCCTGCGCTCTGGTGCCTTCTCTTTCTTCTTCTCCTGGGAGGGAGGGGGCTCTGTGGGACTCTGGGGCACATCGCTGGGTGAAGACTCACTATGGAGAAAGTTCAGAGCAGTGTGAGAGGGCCTGGGACCAGCCACTCCAGAGCACAAGGTAGGGGCAGGAGGCAGGGGGCTGGCTGGTGGGGCAGGGGAGCTCCCTGCAGTCAGAAGAAGCATAGGAAATTGTGGCCCCCACTCCTGGCACACGTCTCCTCTGTGCCCAGCTCTGGGAGGGGGTCGAGATGAACTAATGAGGCTCAACCTAGCTTTGGGGGAGCCTGTGGTCTGGTGAGATGTGTGGGCAGAGCTAAGACAAGTCCGAGGTCTGACCTGAGTTTGAATCCTGACTTTGCCTCTTATTTGCTGTGTGATCTTGGGGCTGTCATGTCACTTCTCTGAGCCTCAGCCTCCTCCTCTGGAAACTGGGGACAAGAAGAGCTACCTGACATGGCGGCTTTGAGGCTCGAGAAAGAAGGGGAGTGGAGAGCACCCCGCTGAGCCCGAGTGAACATGCACCCACTGGCTTTCCTAAAAAAAGTGGCATGGAGGTGGATCTCGGGTCAAGACAAAGGAAGATTCTTCCAGTGAGTCAAGTTACACAATGGCAATAAGGCTCTCACTTTATCCAGCACCCACCGGGTACCAGGCACTATGCTCAGGACTCTATACTGTTGTTTTTAAAAAAGATTTTATTTATTTATTTGACAGAGAGAGAGAGAGACAGCGGGAGAGGAAACACAAGCAGGGGGAGTGGGAGAGGGAGAAGCAGGCCTCCCGCTGAGCCGGGAGCCCGATGAGGGTATTGATCCCTGGATCCTGGGATCATAACCTGAGCCAAAGGTAGACACTTAAGGACTGAGCCACCCAGGCGCCCCTCTATACTGTTTTATAAAAGTAATCTCTATGCCCAGCATGGGCCTCAAACTCATGACCTGGTGATCAAGCACCACATGCTCTACCGAGTGAGCCAGCCAGGTGCCCCACATGCTTTATACATTTTACAGCATGTGAGCCTCACGCTAATCCTATGAGGCAGGTACGATTACGGGGTGGCTTCACACAAGAGAACAGCGACGTGACCAAGACCACACAGTTGGTAAGTGGCAGAGTCATTGTCTGAACTCGGGCTTTCTGCTCACGCTCTGTGGGCCGTGCTGACGCCACGGCTGTATGCTCAGGGACAAGATGAGGAGCCCCGAGAAGATCTGCCTAGGATGCTGAGGAGGAGGAAGAGGAGGAGGAGAAGGTGGGGAGGCTTTAGCGGTGGAGGGGGCATGGTCCCTTCGCTTCCAGCCTCTGGCTCCTTTGGTTTCCTGGGCTCTGCCCTGGGGTAGGGGGCTGAAAGCCAGGAATTCTGGAATATCTCTAGATCAGTCGCCAGGGAGACCCAGGCCCAGGCGACGGTAGACTTGGAAGGGAGCGTGCGGTAGAGGGAGCTGGAACGGGACCCCAGAATTTGACATTACCTGGCTGAAGGACTGGTCTCTCCAGAAGCTGCCAAGTCTGGACCCAGCCCATCTGGAGGGAGAGGAGGGAGGGAGAGAGGGAAGCTGGAGCTACCTTGACTCACTATTGCTGTCCGCCTACCCCCTCAGGGTAGCTCCTGCACCCCACCCCCACGGGCCCCTGGACTCACTCACCTGGGCTGAGGCCACTGCCCTCTTCTGTGGGGCTCTCGAGCCATTCCTCAGGGGAGCTGGGAATCACCCCTGCTCCTTCCTCCGACTCTATCTGCGCACCCCCGTCCTGCTCTTCCTTGGGACTGCCTGGCTCCTAGAACCAGCATGACCTGTATGGGCTTGTGGATGCACAAGCACCTGTCCCAGGCTTTGTGAGGACTCCAGGAAGATCCGGAAGGGAGCCTGGGGCCCCTGGGCTTTACCCCCTCCCCCCCGGCTCTTGATGTCATTGAGAAGACTGGACTTACCCAAAGGAATAAAGCCAGGGGGTGGGAGGCTTAGTTCCTGGGGTGCAGGGGACTCCAGAACACGGCGGGGGGCCTCCTCCCTCCTCTCCTTCGCCACACTCACCACCTCCTTCTTCACGTCAGCTTCCTGAGGTTCAGCGTCAGTCTCCCCTTCCACAGCAGCCTTCTTCTGAGAGTCTGCGGGGGCCTCTGGGGCACTGGCTTTCTTCTGGGCTTCAGCTGTGGGCTCCTCTGTCTTGCTGCTCTTCTCCTGAGAGGCTGTCGTGGCCTCCTCCTTCCCGTCAGCCTCCTTGGCTTCGGTCTTGGCCTCCTGCTCCCCAGCAGCACGTTTGAGCTCAGCCTTGGTCTCATCGTTCCCACCGGCTTCCTCCCTGGATGGAGGCTTGGCGTCCTTCTCATCAGCTTGCTGCTTCTCAGAGGCCGGCATGGTCCCCTGCGCTTCCTCAGCCTCCCTGGGGTCGGGCTGGGTCTCTTCCTTCCCATAGGTCATCTGAGGAGCCACTGTGGTCTCTTCCTTCCTGCTGTCTCCCTTGTGAAGTTCAGCCTCTGCTTTGGATCCCACCTTGACCTCATCCAACCCATCGGCTTCTCCCTGAACTCCAGCTGGGGCGCCGTCCTCGGCTGGTGCTCTTTCCTGCTTTCCCGCTCCATCCAGAGGCCCCTCTTCTCCACTCACCTCCGTCGTGCTTTTGGCCTCTCCTGCAGAGGCTCCACTTCCCTGCGTCACAGGGGCCTCTGGGGTTGGGGAGACAGTGGTCCCATCCTCAGAGGGCTTCTCCTCCTTCTGCTCCATCTCTAGAAAGTAGAGACAAGCAGACCTGGTCATGCTGCATCCCTGCGTGAGGTGAGGAACCCGCCCTCAGAGAGCATTGGCCTGGGAGTCTGGAGGCGTGCTGCTCAGTCCCGGGTCCCCCACGTCGCCACTGCCTGGACATGTGACAGGAGCATCCGTGTTCCCTGTGGTAAAAGGAAGGGGTCCAGTGTTGCTTCCCCAAGGGTGCGATGTTGGGCCACATGGACTTGGCCTTGTATAGTGTTCACCCAACTGCCCTCTGCAGGCCGCGGCTTGGGCTTTAAAGAATATTACATCACGTAATCCCTTTTCAAGGACTTTGCCTCTTTCCGATTAAGCAAATGAAATGGTTAAAACGGGATCCTGGCATCAGGAACACCCGTGGAGTGGTTGTTCTTCTCCCTTTTTAATGGAGGTAGTAGCTAGCCTTGGTCTCCGGCTCAGAGCCCAAAGCAGGCGGGAGTACCCAGATCGAATCTAATAGTACTGCTTGGTTTCCGTTGTATTTTTGTTGTTGTTGTTGTTGTTACTTTCTATTTCTGGCCAGTGATATTGAGTTTCCATTTCCAACAGTGATACAAACTTTCTTTTAAAAATATATTTGTTGAATTTAAAAATAAGTTAATTCAAAGGAAGGCATTCAGGAAAGCAGAACACAGGTGGTACAGATGTGCCAAAATCCCGGGGGTGGCGTAAAAGTGCCTGAAATTTGGGAAACCCAGGGCCAGCTGGTCTCTGGGGCCCTGCCAGCTTCACCAGCTGCCACCGCTCTGTCTCAGCTTGGCCAGGGGTTCTCCGCAAAGGTGGGCCTGGACGTGGGAGAGTTTATTTTGAGGAGGAAAAGAAACGTACTCTCCCTAATCTGTGCCAGAGAAACCTGACCCTCTAACTGCCAGGGATGGGGTGGGGAAGAGGGAGGTTGTGATAACTTGACATGAGCTTTCCTATTCGAGTACTGTATATACTGTAGGATCTACAAAGACAGGTGGGCAGGGGGCAGGCAGGGCCACCTCCTTCATCCCCCTGCCCTTCTTGGTTGTCTGTTTACAAAGAAAACAATCCTCAAATAGTGTTCAGGGTATGACTCAGGGAGTAAGAGATCGAGGCACTCATGTCACTGGCTAAAAATACCTTCTGCCCTCTGCCGTGCCATCATTCTGGGCCACAGTACCCAGGGCACCTGGGCAGTTGGGACAGAGGCAGGAAGACAGGCAGGCTGGTACAGGGCTCCATTCCCTGCCATCCACTCGGGTCTTACTGCCCCCAGTCCAGAGTCCCCGGGGTCCCTGGATTTGGGGCCCCCACGGTTTCTGAGGAAGCCGACTGGGATTTGCAAAGATGCTCACACTGTCCTTCAACCCCACCCCTCACACCAGAACCCCTTCATGGTTCAAAAGCTTCAGCCATGTATTATCTGGGAGCTAACCAGCCAGAATTGGGATGCACGTCAGTGGGGATCCAGGAGACTGTGGAGCCAGATTCACCCCTATCACTTAGTTGCTTACTCTGAGACCTGAGCCAACCCTCTGCTTCTCGAATCCTCAGTTTCTACTGACAGTGACAGGATTGGTCTAGATGAGATTTTCCAAACTCTTCTGTGGAAAACTAGGGTCTCCTAAGACATTAATAGGAGCTGGGGTTGGAGAAATGTATTCTCTGGATGAGGCTGTTCCAGAAACAGCCTCCTATTTTCCCTTTTAGAGATATACAACTTCATTAGTAAGGAAGGGGGTTCTAGATACTCCATAGTAAAGAAACCTTAACTTTGCTTAGTCTTATTTAACTAATTGTTCCCCAAACATATTTTACCATGGATTTATTTTTTTCTTGCTTTCTTTTCTTTTTGCTTTGCTTTTCCTGAGACGCATCTACCGCCATCTTGAGGAATGCCTAGTGTCCCAGAAGCGAGTATGGCAGATGCTGGCCTAAATCATCCACACAGCCCCAAACTCCGTGTTAGTGTTTGGAAGGTGGTATGGAGCAGTGGTGGAAATCATCAGTTAGAATCTTTCCACTGTTTATTAATGGTGTTCTTGAGCAAGCTACCCACCAGCCCTGTGTTGTGAAGTGGTAGAGATAAAAGTCACCCTGTGGGGTGCTAGAGGGTTAAGGAAGCCAACACATGGAAAGTGTTTTGAAGTGTGCCTGGCCTGAAGGGAGCACTCGGACTTTATTTTATTATTATTATTTTTAACTGGGCTCCATGCCCAATGTGAGGCTTGAATTCACAACCTTGAGATTAAGAGTCGAATGCTCTACCCGCTGAGCCTTGTGTCTGCCTATTAATGTTGGCTCTGACCCAGCCATGAGGGCATTTTGTTGGTAAGACAAGGCAAAGAGGACTGAACGCCAGTAAGATGACAACAGACCCCTTTTATACCTCAGAGTGCGATGGTGCTTAGCTAAGACTTACCAGAGCCCTGTAGCCATCTTCCCCTTCGTCTACCTGCTACACGCTGGGAGGCGGGGTGGGGATGGGAGGGAAGGAGGGGCAGGTGCACGCGTGTGCACGCACACACTCACGCACGCGTACGCACACACCCCTCAGCCGTCCTGTGTGCTCATCACCTCAGCTCTCCACAGCCCCCAGGCTTGTCATAAATAGATAAGGAGTGAAGAACCCCAGAATGTGAGAAACCAGGGTAGCATCGCCCACCCCAACACTAAGGATCCCCTAGCAAGTTTCCAGCTTTCCCCACAGTGCCCTGTGGGACCTCACTCATTCCTTACTCTTGCCCTTTGGAATAGGTGTTCCTGGCCCCATTTTACAGGTTAGGAATTTGAAGACCCTTGAGTAAAGTCACAGGACAATTAAAGGGCCCAGCCAGACCTAGAATCCAGTTCTCCTAAAAACCAGTCTGGCGCTTGTGCCCCAAAATGCTGCTGCTCCCACCAGTTCTTCAGCGAGGGTCCCTTCAGGGGTCCTAGCCGGGTGTGAGGGGCACCCCACAGGTGGGCAAGGGCAGCTGGGTGTGGCTGCGGAGCGCAGCTCTCTCTCTTCCACGTGCACAGCAGGCCCTCTCCTCCGTCCCCTCTTCCTCTCCACGCCCCCCTCCTCTTTCCTCGCGGGAAGCCTACAGACACCCTGTTTTGTATCCAAAGCAGCACTCCTGACAGCTCCTCTTCCTTCTCCGTGTTTCTCTTGGCTGGCTGGGAGAAAAAGAACCCAGGAGCTCGAGTTCCAAACCCCAAATAATGCAGACAACACTTGATGGTTCTGTTAGAACCTCCCCGAGCCCCTGACAACCAGTCTGTCTTCTCGTGGTCCTGAGGCTTCCGCCGTCCCCCATCCCAGCCAGTGACTCCCCCTTGGAGAAACCACTCTCAACTGCTTAGAGAATGTGCTTCCCACCCTGACCAGACCAGGATGAGACCAGACTCCCAAGGGCCTCTCTGCCCCTGTCAGGTCCTCCCAGGGGATGGCCACCTGCAGGCTACTCTGTAGGTGATTTCAAGTTGCCCTAGAGCTGGGTCCCTGACCTCTGGCATCCAAAGAGAGTTGACAGAGAGGTGAAGAGGATTACAAAGAGCCTGGATTTCTCTAATTCTGTGGCTCCATGAGGAGGCTCCAGCCCCTGGAAGATGGGAGAGGGATTGGCAGCTCGAGGGGGGCACTTAGAAAGGGGCCCGGAGTTTCTCCTACCTGTGGGGCCTCTGCCTGGGGCTTTTGGAGCTGTCTCTTTCCTCCAGCTGAGCGACCTCACTCTTGGGCTGCCTTTAGCCCCAGCCAGTGGCCTCCAGCCCCCAGCTCTTCAGTCGGCTGCCTCCCCCTTCCTCCCCCCTTCCACCCCACCCCACCCCCACTCCAAGAGCCTTCAGCCGAAGAAGAGCATTGTTTATGGCCCTGTTGGTACAACACTTTCCCTTGGCCTAGGAGGCTCAGATTTCCCGTGAAGATCTGACAGGTGGCACCTTTCAATCACAGCCCAGCCCGTCTTTCCTGCCCTAACCCCGGCTGTATCCATCCTGTGGCCACCCTTCTTCCCTATGTACTCGCCAGGCCCTGGTGACCCCGAAAGCCAACTGCAGGCCATGTGGAAGATGGTCACCAGCCCTCTGGGCTCACCTGCCCATCGAGAGAGAGCCCAGGCTAGGTCTCCTCTGCTCCCTCTGCCCCCCTCATCCCATGTTCCTTTAAATAGTCTTTTACTCCTCCTCAGACAGAAACAGCTGCTGAAGGGTGGGCTGCAGAGGGGGTGAATGGGACAGCTGCCCACGGGGGATGTCTCGGGGCTCACACAGCCCAGAGAGATGTGGAGGGGGAGGGGCGAACAGGTGAGGAGGCTGCGTTCTGTTTTAAGCTGAAGTGACTGGTACATAGGAGGCTGAGCTTTTCATACTGAATTGAGATTTTTTTTTTCCAAGATTTTATTTTTAAAGTCATCTTTATGTCTAACATGGGACTTGAACTCAATCCCGAGATCAAGAGTTGCACGCCTTCCAGGCGCCCCTGAATTGAGATTCTGCTCAGGAAAACAAATCTGCATCTTCTCTATGTGTCCTGTGATCTCAGAGAGGTCCTACTTTGGGAGAGTGTGTGCAGGGGACACTCCTATCCCCTAGGGAGCCTGGGGCTCCCTGCAACCTCCGCCCCCAGTTCCTTTCACCTCCACCACACTGGTCTCCTTCCTGTTTCTGAAATTAATCGATTCCTTCCCACACTCAGGGGTGTCACCTTTTTGTTTCTGCTCTTTGCAAGAATGTTTCCTTCTCATTCTGCTCTCAGCTCAAGTTCTGTTCCCTCAGAAAGGCGCCCGTGGCTTCAGTCCCTCTCCGTCATTTCGTCCCAGCTTATTTTCTTCATAATAGTTATTGGAATCCAAAGTCAGCTTATTCATTTCCTTACTGTCTGCCTCTCCCTGAACTCTAAGCTCTCTGTCTCTAAAGGCAGAGACTTTATCTCCCATGGCCATGTGCCCAGGGCCTAGCACATTGCCTGGTTTACACGAGGTGCTCCATACACATATATTGAATAAGTAAATAAGATAATAGAAGGTCATGGTTGGTGTGGGGGAAAATCCTGTGGGGCTTAGAGGCTCCTGTCAGGATGTTGGCTTTTGCTCTGTGATTGGAAGCCAGTGGAGTCTTTCAGGTTGTGAAGGGACATGATCTAACTTTAGTTTTTGACGAGATGACTCTGGTTGCTGTTTTGAGAACAGACTGAGGGGGGAGCATGAACTGAGGTGGGGAAGGCAGTCAGGGCATTACTGCAGAAAGCCGGGGGCAAGATGGTGGTGAGGAGACATGGTGAGGAATGGTAACTGTGGATGACAGTGACCAAGACTGTGCCAACTTTGTCTCCAAGCCACTGGAATGACCTCTCTGTTCAAGTCACTGACATTCCTGCTCTCACATGTCCTGTTCTCCTCCAGGGAGTTCACTTAGACTGCTTTGTGTTCTCTACTCCCCCCTCATGAGTGGTCAGGGCACCCTCTCAGATTCTGGGTGACAATCCTGCATTCCTTCCTTTGGGGTTGAGGTCCCATCCAAGAGGACAGTACTGATCCATGGTGAGTACAAACACACAACTCCCTTCTGGGAGCCTGGGAGGCTGGGAAGGGGTGGAACCCAGTAGAGAGAGAGAGGCCACAGCCACAGGGTGGTGCTGACAGAGGTCAGCTACTTTAGACAACATATCTGGATTCCAAAGAGATCTTGGGGGGCTGGGGCTGTATAAACTGTTTTTTATTGTTGTTGTTGTTTACAAGAAGAAACTTAACAGGAACAATTGGAAATTCCTACTTATGGGTTCTCAAATCCCCAACTGTAAGTGTAGAAAGGAAAAGACACAGTTTCATAGTAAATAATAGCCATGACATCATCATCAGCAAGAACAATTATTACCCGGGCACTGGCAGGAGGAGGAAAAGTGTGGAGTTGTTCAATGGGTATAAGGTCTCAGGTGTAAAGTCTCAGGTGTTCAAAATGAATAAGTCCCCAAGATCTTTTATACAACGTTGTGCACACAGTTAACAAAACTGCATCGTGCGCTTAAAAATTTGCTTAGAGGGTAGATCTCATTGAAGTGTTCTTACCACATAAAAAAGGGACAATTTTTTTAAAAAAGGGACCATTTAAAAAAAAAAAAGATTTTATTTTTAAGTAATCTTTACACCCAACATGAGACTTGAACTCACAACCCCAAGATCAAGAGTTGTACCCTCCTCCAACTGACTCAGCCCGGCGCCCCCCCAAAAGGGGCTATTTTTTTTTTAAAGATTTCATTTATTTGACAGAGAGAGAGACCGTGAACAAGCAGAGGGAATGGGAGGGGGAGAAGCAGGCCTCCCTCTGAGCAGGGAGTCCGATGCGGGGCTCGATCCCAGGACCCCAGGACCATGACCCGAGCCGAAGGCAGACACTTAACTGACTGAGACACCGAGGCACCCCTAAAAGGGGCTGTTTTTTTTTTAAAAGATTTTATTTATTTATTTGAGAGAGAGAGCACACACAAGTGAGGAGGCAGAGGGAAAGAGAGAGGGAGAAGCAGACTCTGTGCCGAGCAGGGAGCCCGACACTCACATGGGGCTCAATCTCAGGACCCCAGGATCATGACCTGAGCCAAAGGCAGATGCTTAACCAACTGAGCCACCCAGGTGCCCCAAGAGGGGCCATTTTTGAGAAATTGGGGGAAATGGAATATGTGCAAAAGATCACATTAAGAAGTTATTATAATTTTGAGAGTATGAAAATGGTGTTGTGGAAAGGACTTTATTTGTGAGAGGTCAAAATAGATGAAGAAAATATGGCCAAATGTTAACAACGGTTAAAGTCTGGTGATGAGCATGTGGAAGTTCAGTATACTGTGCTTTCCACTCGTCTGTATGTTTTGTCTAAAAATTAAAAGGAATAAGTCTAAAAATTAAAAGGAATGAGAATAATGATTTTTTTAATGAGCATCTGCCATGGGCTAGGTGCTTTAAGTCTATTTTTTCTTTTTCTTTTTTGTAATGATTGTTTTAATTTTTTATTTTGAAATCATTGTAGATTTGCAGGAAGTTGCATAAATAGTACAGAGAGAGTACTGAAAGTAAAATCTTACATAACTATATGCAATATCAGAGCCAAGAAATTGACACTGGAACAATGGTATGTGTAGTTCTATGACATCTTATCACATGCTTAGATTTATATAAACACCTCCACAATCAGGATGCATAACCACCCCATCACCACAAAGATCTCCCTTGTTCTACCCCTTTATGGGCACACCTCCTCCCTAACCTTAATGCTGGGCAACCATTAATCTCTTTGTCTCTAAAATTTCGTCATCTTGAGAACATTATTCAAATAGAATTGCACAGTGTGTAACCTTTTGCAATACCTAATAAAAATCCCATCAAGGAAGTAGATTATTCTTGTCAGAACCCATCTCCTTTTCCCATACAATTTCTTAATATTCCATAATGTGTTGACTATATTATCAAAAGCTAAAACCAGGGGTGCCTGGCTGGCTCAGTCAGTTAAGTTTCTGCCTTCGGCTCAGGTCATGATCCTTGTGTCCTGGGGTCAAGTGCCACATTGGGCTCCCTGCTCAGAGGGGAGCCTGCTTCTCCCTCTGCCTGCTGCTCCCCCTGCTTGTACTCTTTCTTTCCGTCAAATAAATATATAAAATCTTAAAAAAAAAGCAAAAACCAGTACAGCAACATGTGTCCACTAAAACACATGTACAATAATATTTACAGCAGCATTGTCATAATAGCCCCAAACTGGAAACAATCCAAAAATCTATCAACAGGTGAAATGATAAATGAATTGTGACTTATTCATACAAACACTAGACAGCAATAAAAAAGAATAAATGACAGATACACACAACAACGTAGATGAAACGCTACGGACAGTACATTGAGCTAAAGAAGTCGGGCACAAACCAGCAAATAATGTATAACTCCATTTACATGAAGTTCAGAAGTAGTCAAAATTAACTGAGGGCAATAGAAGTCAGAATAGTGGTTAACCAAGGGTAATGACTGGGAAGGAACCCAAGATAACTTTTGAGGGTGTTGGAAATAGATTGTATTTTGATCTGAGTGGTGGTTATAAGAATGAATATATGTATATATATATTTTTAAAGATTTTATTGATATATTTATTTGACAGGCAGAGATCAAAAAGTAGGCAGAGAGGCAGGCAGAGAGAGAGAGGTGGAAGCAGGCTCCCTGCTGAGCAGAGAGCCCTATGCGGGGCTCAATCCCAGGTCCCTGGGATCATGACCTGAGCTGAAGGCAGAGGCTTTAACCCACTGAGCCACCGAGGCGCCCCTGAATATATATTTTTAAATTAAAGTTAAGTTTAAAAAATTTTAAGCTTAAGTTTCATGTATTTTAGTCAAAATGTTATACCTTAATTTTATTGAGAAAAGTTTTTTTTTTTTTTTTAAGATTTTATTTATTTATTTGACAGAGACAGTGACAGAGGGAATACAAGCAGGCGGACTGGGGGAGGGAGAAGCCGACTTCCCGCTGAGCAGGGAGCCCTGACCTGAGCAGAAGGGAGGAGCTTAAGGACTGAGCGACCAGGCACCCCTGAGGAAAGGTTTTTAAGTAACCTCAATACCTAAGGTGGGGCTCGAATTCAGAAAGAGGTTGGGGGCTGTGGATAAAGAGTTGTGTGCTGTACTGAGCCAGCCAGGGGCCCCTGCTATACCTTTTTTCCAGATTTTATTTGTTTATTTGGGAGAGAGAGAGAGAAAAAATGAGCTCAAGTGCACACTCAGGAAGGGGGGGTGGGTGGAGGGAGAGAATCTCAAGGGGATCCTGCACTGAGCCGGGAGCCAAGGCAGGATTCTATCTCACCACGCTGAGATCATGACCTGAGTGGAAAACCGACAGTCCCACGCCTAACTGACTGAGCCACCCAGGCACCCCTACCTTAATTTTATAGTCTGGGGGCACAGGGCTTGAGAAAGATGAGTCTTTAGAGCAGAACTAAGGGCCAGAATTTAAAATCTTGACTTTCTTAGGCAATTAGGAAAGCATATAGTGACCAACCAGCCCACCTTCGCCAATGGGCATGTATTCTTGCACCATTAATTTACATGTCCTAAACCTCGTTTACCGGGAAATCCCTTGAAAAATCAAAGGATTGGGGTGGGTTTTTGTGGTGCAGGGGTGCAGATCGAGGAACACATGAAGTCTGGTAAGATGAAAAGAGTTCACAAGTATTTTCTTCCTCCCTCGCTCAAATACACTAAGTTATCTCTTGTGGCAGCCAAAATCACTCCTATCCATCTCTTTATGGTCCAGGGCGTTTAACAGAAGAAGCTGCATAAAACAGACTATACGTATCTCATTTTTCTGTGAGCCGGAACCGTGCCTCGCTTCTCTGCAACCCCAGGGAAAGCTTAGGACCTACATGCCCCTGTATATGCACAGTCCCCTGGAGCACTGGCTCTCAAACCTGGCTGCACAAAGAAATCACCTAAGGAACTGAAACATTTACTGATGCCTGGGTATTACTCTTTAATTGGTATGAAATGAAGGACGAACATCGGGATATTTTAAAGCGTCCCAGGTGACCTTAATTCGCAGCACAAACAGAACTGCTCTTTAGGGGAGTCCTTCCTTCTCCGCGCCAGTTTGCGCTGGGGCGTGAACTCTCCAAGGGTGGGAGCGAGGTTCACCGAGCTCGGCCCTCTACCCCTTCCCACAAAACAGTTAAACTCCAATCTCTCAGCGATAACCCGGGGGACTTGACAGCCGGGCTGCAGGCGCTCTGCACTCCGCCCAAGCCTCTATGGTATTTTGGCGTCCTCTCTAGCACATGCAAGGCGTCTTTGTCTTCAGCCGCTGCCGGCGGCTCCCTCTCTATGGTAGCCGATTGCCCGTCCGCCTCTTTGGTACTTCATTCCGGAAGCGAGTCCTATCATGGAGGAGGCGGGACTTCCTCCCGGAAGTGACCCACGTGCTTCCGCCTTAGCCTACCTGGTCGCACGGTGAGTTTCGAGTGTTTGCCCGAAGTTGGGGACACTGCGGGCATTGTGACAGGCCGCGGGCCGTGGTAAGTGACCTCTCTCCTCAAGGTGACCCTGATGATGGAGCCGCCATTTCAGAGGTGCAGGCCCTAGACCGGGACCTTTGCATCTTAGCTCCGCGTGTTTTCGAATTCCCAGGGCCCTGGAGGTTCAGGTCCGCGGTTTAGTGTTCCTCGCCGGTCTCTAGATTTTCTCCTGGGTAGAAGTGACCAGGAGGCACTGGGCCGCCAGGGCTCGATTTCCAGCCGCTCCACTGACATGTGACCTTGGGCTACGCAGTGTTCCCTTTCTGGGCCTCAGTTTCCACGTCTGTGAGATGGGGTGGTTGAGCGCACAGAGGTCAGTGACCGGTGCCAGCCGCATGTCTTACGATTCCCCCGCATCCTCCACCCCCTTGGGATGGGAAATGGAACGGGCCGGGTGGAAGCTGACGGTGGTGTCTGCTTCCAGGACTAGGAGGCCAGAAGGAGCTCTTTTCCACGGTGCAGGGCTGAGATGGATCCGCTCAGGGCCCAGCAGCTGGCTGCGGAGCTGGAGGTAGAGATGATGGCTGATATGTACAACAGGTAAGGGCCCACAGTGCGCCCCCTTGTCTTTGAGAATGATCCTAGGTCACCCTCTCTGGGTTGCCTTTCGGAGGGTACCCGCCCGCACCTGCACTCCTCCTGGTTGAGGGCTAGTGCAGATGCAGTATGGGGTCACTAGAACAAGTTGGACGTCTAGATTGGGATGCAAGTAGCTGAGCAGAAAGAGAAGCACCAGTCCAAGCTCTGGTCAGGTTCCAGGAACAGTTGAGCATTTGCGTTTGTGCCAAAAAGCACGTAGCCCACTTAGTAGTTAACATTTCTTAAATTCTTACTCCGTCTCAGGCACACGCTGAGCGGTTTACATGCCTTAAACTTTTTTAAGCTTCAGAGTGATCGACTGGGTCAATTTTAGTTGTCCCATTCTAAGGTGAGGACACTGAGGCTTCTAGAGGTTAAGTAACTTTCCCAGGGCTCACAGCTGGTCAATAGCAATGTCAGGACCAGTACCTCAGTCCAACTCCAAGCTAGTGCCCACAACCATTTGGCAGATTTGGGAACAAATTGTAACTGCTCTAGTCACCCCTGGTTTGGCCTAGGGCAGGTTACTTGGACTGTTTGGTGGTTTCCCCAGCTATAAAATGGAGGTAGGGACGCCTGGGTGGCTCAGTTGGTTGTTCAGTGCATGTTGTGATCTCAGGATCTCAGGATCAAGCCCCACCTTGGGTTCTGTGCTCATCAGGGAGCCTTCTTGAGATTCTCCCTCTGCCTCTTCCCTGTGCAGCCGCACACTCATGCCCCCGCACATGTTTTCTCTCTCCCTGTCAAAGAAATAAATAATAATAAATCTTTCTAAAAATAAAGTGGACATAGTAATGGTACCTACCTTGTGGAGACATTGTAGATGTTATGTGTAGAAACGTATGACAAGCTCTTGTATTAAGCCCAATACAGAGTAAGTAGCCCACACCTGTTTGCTGTTTTTATTGCCTTAAGCCCCCTGTATTTTCTCTTGATGGTTTATCTTGGAGGCTATATATTAGAATACTTCCAAACATTTTTTTTTTAAGATTTTTATTTATTTATGACAGATTGTGAGAGGGGGAACACAAGCACGGGAGAGCTGGAGAGGGAGAAGAAGGCTCCCCAGCCTGATATAGGACTTGATCCTGGGATGCTGGGACCATGACCTGAGCCGAAGGCAGATGCCCAATGACCGAGCCACCCAGACACTCCACTTCCAAATATTTTAAATAATTTTAAAATGCAAGCCGTGAGGTCAGACCCTGGGGGTTCGTATCCCGGCTTTACATGGTTCTGAGGCTCTCCATGCTATAATTTCCTTATCTGTGAAATGGGGATAATGATTGTGCCTACGTCATAGGGTTATTGTAACGACTGCATGACAAGCCGTGTCAAGCACTTAGCATGATGCCTGGAACATAGCCAGTACTCAACTAATGGTTCCTATTTAAATAACCCTGGGCTCAGATAGGCGAACATTCTCAAGGACACTTCAGTACAGTTGAGATGTGAACTGAGGTTTTTACACTGCCTTCCTGGAAGGTGAAATCAGCACAGCAGGACAGGAATGATGGAGAGATCCTGGTATGCTTCCGGATGCTGCTGACCTGACCTTGCCCTTGCTCCCTGCCCAGAATGACCAGTGCCTGCCACCGGAAGTGTGTGCCTCCCCACTACAAGGAAGCAGAACTGTCCAAGGGCGAGTCTGTGTGCCTGGACCGCTGTGTCTCCAAGTACCTGGACATCCACGAGCGGATGGGCAAGAAGCTGACGGAGTTGTCTCTGCAGGATGAAGAGCTGATGAAGAGGGTGCAGCAGAGCGCCGGGCCTGTGTGAGGCCCCAGACAGTGTACACCCCAAGGTGCGCCCTGCCCCTCCCACTTGTCCAATAAAAGTGCCCCCATTGGGTGTCAGCTGTGACAGCTGCTGGGCCTCGGCTCCCTCGGGAGAGCCTCCAGGAGCCCAGAGGATGGTAGAGCTACTCTCCTGCTCGAAGAGGGGAATTTGTCACACTGCGACGTGACTGTCTGTGTACGTGGATGTGTGTGTAGATATATATTAAAACAGGTTTGTTGACACCAGCTACACGGAAAGCAGTGTGCCTGGCACTTGCAAGCAGAGGCGGCAGCCGCAGCCTCTACCAGCAGAGGGGGTCTCATGTGTTTCAAGGCATAGACTGCTGCCATGTTCTGGGTTATACGCCAGGGCAGCTGCTTGCCGCGTGACCCTGAACATGTCACTTTACTGTGCTTTAGCTTCCTCGTCTGTGGAATGGGGATAACCACAGGGCTGTGGCGAGGATTAAATGGTTTAACATGTGTCCAGCACGTGGCGTAATGACTGGGACATAGGAAGTGCTCTGTAGATACGAGCTGTATACACGTGTTTAAATAACAACCCAAAATTTAAATGGAGTCAGGCAGGCATTTTTCCAGATGAAAGGGAATAGAGGAGTGAGTGAATGGGAGATGGGAAGGAAGATTTGAGAAGGAAGTAGCCAACGCCTGGGTTCTAAGTGGCAGTATCGAAACATGTGACAGGGCCAGCTTCATGTGTGGTGTGAGTGATCCAGGGAGGGGACTGAGCGAAAATGCTGCCGTTCACCGTTCACCCGGAACAGGGACTGCGCTCCTCACTCTTCATACAATATCCCATCCAGCTCTTTCCGCCATCTTTCTGGGCTGCCATGATGGTGCACACGAGTGTCCTGCCAGATGTTCGCAAGAGCGTTAATGCTGAAAAAGAGAGGCAAACGCCATGTTCTTATTAGGCCATGCCCCAGAGTCCTCGTCTGGTTTCTGTGAAGATGAAGCATGGTTACCTTGGTGAATCTGAGATCACTGATGATCACAGAGGCTTGTGAACCTCATGGGCAGGTTAAACAAGCGTGGAGGGATCAGCCCCACATTTGATGTACAGCTCAAAGATCTAGGAAAATGGTGGAATAATCTTCCATCCTGCCAGTTTGGTTTCATTGTATTGACAGTCTCAGCTGGCATTGTGGCTCGTGGAGAAACAAGATGAGAACACATGGGAGGGAAAATCCTGGGGTTCCTTTTCTCCGGGTGTAACGCGTGCAGAGAAAACACCTCAGTGGGGGAGAAGAGTCTGATGTAATCCACTCAGCTGGGCTAAGGGGCCCTATTAGACAGTGGAGGCCCAGAGCCCTGGTTGCTTGTGGGAGGTCTCACGAGAGGAGTGAGGGCTGACTGCTGCTCTTGCTGTCTCCCTGAGGAGACCACTGCCCCGAGTTCCTGAGTGTCCTGGAGAGCTGTGCACCTTTCAGAATGTGTGGCTCACTCCCTCCAGGTGGGATTTTGGTTGATGTCAATGCCACTGTGGCAGTAGTGCCTTCATAGCAGAGAGGTGGATGTGGGGAAAGAACCTCACCAGGTCACTGGGCATGGGGTAAAGGAAGCACTAGAAGCAGAGAGTTTGGAGCTTAGAAGTGCAGGCCAAGGGACTCGGGTGGCTCAGTCGGCTGAGCATCTGACTCTTGACTCTTGATTTTAGCTCAGGTCACGATCTTAGGGTTGTGAGGTCAAGAGGTCAAGCCCTGCCTTGGACCATGTGCAGGGGGAGGGGTTGTGGAGGGGGGAAGGGAGGCTCTGGAGGAGTCCGCTTAGGATTCTTCCTCTTCCTCTGCTCCTCCTTCACCTCTCTCTCCCTCTGTTTAAAAGAAAAAAGGGGAGGGGCGCCTGGGTGGCTCAGTGGGTTAAAACCTCTGCCTTCGGCTCAGGTCGTGATCCCAGGGTCCTGGGATCAGGCCCCACTTGGGGCTCTCTGCTCAGCAGGGAGCCTGCTTCCACCTCTCTCTGCCTGCCTCTCTGCCTACTTGTGATTTCTGCCAAATAAATAAAATCTTGGGGGGAAAAAAAAAGTGCAAGCCCAAGCCAAACCGTCTGTGGTGGAATTTTCTAGCTGTGTGATCATGGGTGAGACATTTACCTGCTGTGTGCCTCAATTTCCCCATCCATAACATGGTAATAGTGGTACCCACCTCCTTGAATGAATGGTGTGAAAATGGAAAGTGTTCATAACTGCAACACTTAGGAAAGTGCCTGCCTCTGTCAGATTAAGTGCTCGGTAATGTTAGCTTGTGTGTTTGTTATTGCTGAGTTTGGTGTGAGAAGACCCTGGGCAAACTTAAGCCATGTGCACTGACCTAGTGGCCTGCAGAAGGCGAAGGCTCCTTTCTAGTACCGAAGTGCAAGTGTGGGTCGACAGGTGGCGCTGTCTGCTTGCAGGAGCAGCCTGGCAGCGGGCAAGTTTGCCTCCGTGCAGGCGTCCTGAGAGGGAGAAGGGAGGGGTGAGAAAGATAGATGTGGTGCCTGCCCGCAGGTTTAGCAAGGAACATCAAAAATTCTGAGAGCGCATAGCGGGAACATCTAGAAGGGTGGCAGGAGCAGAGAGAAGAGGTTCCAGCTGGAGGGAATAGTACTTGCAAAGGCTTTGAAGTGGCAGAAAGTGTGGAGCGTTCAAGAAACAGCTTCAGTGCGCCTGGAGTGCCGAGTGTGAAGGGAGGTGGTGGTGAGAGATGAGCCTTGGGGGCTGGGCAGGCAGAGCTCCAAAAGAGCCTTGAGGAGCTGCGTTAAGGAGTTTGGATCTTCTCCTGCCGAGGGCAGCAGCAGAGCGTTGGAGGATGTAAACCCTGGCAGCGAAAGATCTGCTTTCCCGGCTGCCCGCTGGGTGGGTAGTGGAAGATGGCGGGAGGTACCAGTGAAGGGGAGAGGTGCCAGGGAGCCCGTGAGAACAGCTGTTCAGTTGCCTGGTGTGCTAAGAAGTGTATCACTTCGGTTAATCCTTGTAACAACTTGCAGGCGGGTACAGTTATTCTCACTTAGCAGATGAAGAAGCTGAACTCTGAAAAGGTAGTTAACTTGCTGAAGGTCACGCAACAGGCAAGGGACAGAGGCAGGGGTTCAGCTTATTCAGACAGCAGAGCCCACTTTTAACTGTTGCTCTAGAATTCGGGGGGTAGGGGGCATGGTCTCTCAAGAGGTACACGTCAGCAATTTCATACTTCATTCAACAATATTTATTATCGGCTGCTCCATGCAAAGAGCCACAAAAGGTATCCAAAGTGCATTTGCTCTGTCCTGGCTCTCATGAATATTGTGGGGAGCTGGAGGGGGTACAGGAGAGATGGGACACACATACAAAGGGTGGCAGAATAGGTTAGGCTCTTTCTGCCATAAAGCGGAGTCCAAAATTCCTAATCCTAATGTATTTTTGCTAGGTTATCATTTTTAAAATCAGGAAATGTCTCAAAAATCTGGATTTGACCTTTTTTTTTTCCTAAGATTCATTTATTTGACAGTGAAAGAGATAGAGAGGGAACACTAGCAGGAGGAGTGGAAGAGGGAGAAGCAGGCCTCCCACGGAGGAGAAGGGAGCTCCATGTGGGACTCAATCCCGGGACCCGGGGATCGTGATCTGAGCCAAAGGCAGACATTTAACCACTGGGCCACCCCGGTGCCCCTGCGTTTGACTTCTTTTGAAAGTTTAAAGTATCAGTCAGCCTCCATTTCTGCTTGGGAGCGGCCAAGGAAGAGCAGCGAAACTCCCATTGCTGATTTCTTTCCTCATCCTCTGCTTGGCCAGTAGGCCATTTGGTCCTAACCTGCCCTGGGCTTCAGGTGAGCCGGATGCTACATGAGAAAACATGTCGATGTCCAGGGATAGGCAGGCTCTAGGTGGCTCCCAGTGGTCCTGCCCCCAGCCAGGCGTTCCTGGTACAGTCTGCTTCCCCTGAGTGTGCACTAGACCTACAGACTTGCTTCTAATAAACACCACAGCAGAGGTGACAGGATGCCCCTTCCGAGGTTAAGGTACAAGAGATTGGAATGGCCATCTTGTTAGTGGTCTCTCTCCTCTTGCTTACCACGAGGAAGCCAGCTTATATTTTGTGAGTGGCCCTTTGAAGGGGCCTGTGTGGAAGGAACTGAGGGCAGCCTCGAATCGGCGAGGAACTCAGTCCCACCGACAGCCCCGTGATTGCTTCTGCTTCTCCAGATGACCGCAGCCCCTGCTGACACTTCCCAGCTCTGCGAGCCACCTTGGAAGCAGAGGATCCCCCTGAACTGCACCCTGACTCTGACCTACAGAAACCAAGATAATGAATGTTGTTTGAAGCAATTACGTTGCGGGATAATTTGTTATGTAACCATCTCTAACCAACACCTGGACAGATCTTACAACTACTACAGTAGTCGGAGATTATGATCTTTTCTACACCTCAACCCAGCATGGGCCAGGCCCCATTCCAGGCCTTTGGGACACATCACTGTACAAAACATAAAGATCCCTGTCCTCTTGGAACATGTATGCAAGTGGGGAGAGTTCTGCATAGTAGAAGTCTGGGGTAGCAGTGCTGTTTTGAAGGAGAGAGCATTTTCAGTTCCTGGGGAGAGGTTTTTAACTGCTTTTAGGTCTCAAACCCCTCATGAAACTCCAATAGACGCCATGGATGGTTCTTTAGAAATATGTACATGCACATAGAATTTTGCATACAATTTTAGGGATCATCATAAAAATGTGGGCTGACCGGAGGGGAGTTTTGTGATGAGCGTTATTTTAAGTGTTGGGACAAAGAGAAACAAGATTGAAAAATTGAATGGGGAGACATACTAAAGTCAGTTGGCTTTTGCAGTTGTGGTAAGTGCCACAGGAGATGTTCTGGAGCTATAGAGAGGAATGTGTCCCCAAGTCTGGGTGCTCAGAGAAAGATATCTCCCAGAACAGGGTAGGTAAGTGAGATTTGAAGGATGAGTGGAATTTGGCCGGCAGGGGGCAGGTAGGTGGTAGGTTCTGTGTTAAGTGCCAGGAGGGTCCCCGCCCTCCGGCACACACAGTCCATTGGACGAAACACACATCTTGATGAGTCTCCTCAAAAGGAAACTCAAATATATAGATCACAT